TCTAAAGCTCTTAACCTTTCCCACTTTTCCTCTGAATCGAAAACCATTCCCTTTACTGGTGAAAAATTATCCAAAGGCTTAAAAGATTGGAGTGTGTTTGGTCGGGTACTCCATAGGCCGCAGACCTTACTATGAGGCATTGTTAGGTTCTATCAAGAAAACTTGGTCCCTCAAAGGTTCTCTCCAACTCCTTTCTCTCAGTGATGGATTTTTTCTTCTTCGGTTCTCTTGCTCTGAAGATTTTGACATGGCGTGGTCGAGAGGCATTTGGTTTTTGTTGGGAAAGCCATTTGTGCTACAAAAATGGCATCCTAAATTCAAGCCTAAGAGGGAGAACTTCTCCTTTATTCCCATATGGCTAAAAATACAATATCTTACTCTTGCATGCTGAAACTCGAAGGGCTTTTCTAGAATTATGAGCAAGGTTGGGCTGCCTCTTGCTGTTGATTCCTTGACAACACAAAAGACTCGCCTCACCTTTGTTAGGGTATGGGTGCTTGTTGATTGTGATGCTACATATCTAGAAGAAATACTGGTTTCCCTAGATGGTGATGTAGTCAGCTTGAAAGTACAATACAAATGGAGGCCATCCCCATGTGAGCATTGTAAGTCTTTAGTTCACTACTCTTCCACATGTCCATCAAAACCCAACTCCTCAACTAAAGAGCTTGACCTCCCATCTAATGTGGTCCCCATGGAGCACTACTATATGGTAGGAGCTTCAGTAGAAAGCCCATAAACTGCCACCCCTCTAGAGCTCCTCCTAACAGACAAATACCATTGAAGCCCTTCTCTTGAGACTAAACCCAGAGAGACCCTTCTAATTGCTACAAACCCCATATTATTCCCACTAGCCAGCAAAAGCCTATCATCACAACCTCAATTGTCCAACCTCTCCATTACCAACCTCACTCTCCTCCACCTCAACAGCCTTCCCTCAATCCTCAATCAGAAGGCTCTGATGTTACTCCTCTTCCCCCGTATTAGAGATCAATGCTAATGAGGTAAACATTTATGGTATCCATAATCTAAACACTCCCATAGAGAGTGACTCCTCTTCTATCAGCTCAATGCATCCTCAACACTCATCTCTCCTCTCGGAGTTCTTTCTCCTAATAAATTTGATGCTCTTCAAAACCAATTGGAGAGAAATATCCAGCATGACCCTTTATATTGTAACAACTTAGCTAGATTAAATCAAAAACCTCAGGATAATGCTAAACAACCATCCAATTTTGTTCTTCCAAAAAAAAATTACAAGGGGGAAGCAGGCCAAGAAATTCCACCCTCACTCGATTGCCAAGAAATTCTACCCTCACTTGATTTCCTTATGTGGATCCCGTCCATAGTGGCGTAGAACATTAGGGGGTTTAATCGTCTTGATAAAGTCCTGTGTTGCAAACAATTGATTAAGTATTTTAAGTTAGACATGTTATGCATTTTGGAGACTAGGATTCATTATCCTTCTCTACATGACCCCTTTTTTGATGCTACTCATTCTATTTTTCCCAATGAGCTCAACTACCATATTTTTCCCTCTCCTCGTTGGGGAAGATTTGGATTAAATAGAATGCATGTCAGATGAACTTTCACCCTACACACATCTCTCTACAACTTATTTTTGGGACTGTCTCGGTTGGAAGCCTCCCTCCTTTTTATCTTACTATTATTTATGCATCCAATAGTGGCGCTGAGCGAAAAGATTTGTGGACTCTAATTTCTCAAATTGCTCCTGCTCATGATTCACCCCTAGGCTCTTATAGGAGATTTCAATTGCTGCCGGTTTGCTTTAAAAAATTTGGGAGGTTCTACACTCACTCATAATGCCCTAGTGGATTTTAATTATATGATCTTTAATAATAGCCTTGAGGATTTGCATTCTATTGGATGTACTTACATATGATTTAATCAACGTACTGACAAACCAATTCACATCAAACTAAATAGAGTTTTTGTAAATGACAGCTAGCTGAATACCTTCCCTACCTCTTACTGGTCCTATCAGAGTCCATCTTACTCGGATCATAGCTCCATAATATTGCACTCGGCAGTTTTATTTCAATCCCATCACAGGTTACTTTTTAAAAATTTTTGGACCAATATGGATAGATACTGAATTTTATTGTTAGAGGCTTTCTCTAAGCCTTTGATTGGGAATCCTCTATCTCACCTTTATCATATTCTTAGGCAGCTTAAAGGTGGCATAAAGAAGGAGGTTAGGGCAAATTATAATTGCATCAATAAACACCTTCACAATCTTCATAAGAAACAACTAGAATATTTGGGAAAGGTCCAAGGAGACAAGAATAATCATTCCCTTAATTCACCTCTTAAGGAGATGAATTTTAGGATATCTAAGTTTTCTAACATGCTTGCCTTTTGGATTATTCAAAGAGCGAAAGTCAATTGGCTAAAACATGGCTAGGATGATCTGAAATTCCTTTATGCTAAAATCAAGAGTAGAATGGAAAGTACCAAGTTGGCTATTAATTTGTTAGCAAGCAATACTAACACTCCAAGGTCTGACGTGATCTCTTCCATAATTCAGTACTTTCAAGTTCTTTACCCCTCTCCTCCCTCCAATATGGATGTGGAGATTTTTACTATAAGTAATGTTTCCCTAGATCATTATTCTGCTTTTATTACCTTATATGTCTCGGATACAGAAATTAAAAAAGCTATTTTCATGGGGTCTTCTACCTTAGCTCCTGGTCTGGACAGATTTAATTTCCACTTTTACAAATTCGGGTGGCACATTATCGATCCTATGGTATGTAGGACTATCAAATTTTTTTCCACAAAGGCTACATTCCCAATGGAGTAAAAGCTATGGCTCTAGCTATTATTCCTAAACATAAGAATGCTGCTACTATTTCTGATTATAAGCTTATAGCTTTATGCAATGCGTTGTATAAAATCATTGCTAAGATTATTGCTATTAGGTTAAAACTGATTATGCCTTTGATTGTCAATGATAATCAAGCAGGATTTGTTAAATCTAGAGTATCTAAGAACAATATTTTTCTTGCTAATGATATCCTCACTCTAACCCACAAAAGGGGTGTCAATAAATACTTTTTGTGCTAAATTAGACATAAGAAAAGCATTTGATAATATTTCAAGGGAATTTTTTATAGCTAGAATGATACAGAAAGGGTTCCCCAAATCTCTAGTTAGCTAGATAAAAGCTTGCATTTTATAAGTGGATTTTTCCATTGTCATCAATGGTGCACCAGAGGAATTTTTTTTCTACTTCTGCTGGATTAAGGCAAGGATGTCCACTTAGCCCATACCTTATTTGTTTGGTTATGGATGCATTCTCTAATCTTCTAGATGAGGGAGGTTTTAAAGGCATTTTTATTAAAGGATTCACTCTCACTCACCTTCTCTATGCTGATGATGTGCTGGAATTTGGGGAAGCAAGCTTAGAGAATTGGAACAAACTTTCTAGTATCCTTAATGCATTTGCTAATGCCTCGGGGCTTCATATCAACTTTGAAAAAAGTTCTATTATGTTCCCTAAAAATCAGAGAAACTAGGAAGATATTTGCAAAGCTCTTTATATTCCTAACATTAGCTCCAATATCACTTATTTGGAGATACCTCTTAGTTTCAATAGACTAAAAGTTGAAGACTTCTTGCCTCTCATGGATAGTATCACCAAGAAGATGTCAAGCTGGAAAGCTAATTTACTATCTTTTGCTAGTAGCTGCAATTCTTGAAATTCAACATATAGAATACCATAGCTTATTGGATACGTGGTTCTATTTTGCCTAAAATAGTTTATAGGTTTTGTAAAAAAACCCTCCTATAGGTTTCTATTTTTTTGTGATACCAATAGTAATAAAAAAAATCCACATGATCTCCTCAGATAAAGTTTGTAAGCCTAATAATAAAGGGGGTTTGGGTATCTCATCACTAAATGCACTTCAATTTGCTTTTAACTATTTAGTGATCACCATAATGTACAATAGCCCGTCTCCTTTATCTTCTTGGCTATCCAGCAGGTTTATCTCTCCATGGCGTCCCCCCCCCCCCCCCCCCCCCCAGCCCCCCCATTTTGGTCATATGCTTCAAAGTTTTGGAAATCAGTATGCAATACTACTGTTGCAGCTAAATATTGCTTTCAATTTAGAATCACTCAAAATGCTCCCATTTTTTTGAGATGGGATCACTGGTGTCATAATTCCACATTAGAGGAATTCTTGGATGGGCAAAATTCTTTGGTTGCATCTTTCTCTGATTCTCTATTGAGTAAATTCATTTTGGGATAACACTGGAACTTACTGGATCTCTTCCCTGTGCCTTTATGGGAAGTATTTTGTAGTATCCAAATTTTGGATAGCTCAATCCCTTGCTTAGTTTGAAATAATTTGAACAATATCAAATTTGGAGATAATATAAATGAGTTTTAGAAGAATTTGCCAAACTGCTCTTGATATAGGATGGTTTGGCACCAAAAGTATGTTTTGAGACATTCTGTTTATTCGTGGCTTGCCATTGTGGGGAGCTTGAAGATTGATGATGTAGCTCCTATAGCAGGCTCCCCTTGGACAGTCTTCGGGCAACCAGGGGCTTGAGTTTTCCTTTGATCTGTTGGCTTTATCTCGTGAGTCTAAGCTTTATTGGCTGTAGGAGCTCTGTTTTTTTGGCTAGTCTGTTTAGTTTGTATTTTGTTGCTCCTTGTTCTTGAAACTTTTATTTTATCCAGTGAACGTACGCTCATCTACGTTCGGATCTAGGCAAAAAAAGCGTAATACCGAGTACCGAGTACCGAGTACCGAGTTGTACCGAGTTTTTTAAAAAAACTCGGTATTGCGCTGTTTTGATCTAAAACCGAACGTAGAGGAGCGTACGTTCACTGGATGTAATAAAAGTTCTTGTTCTTGAGCAGATTTTTTGAGCTGAGTTGAGCTAGGCCTTTTTTTGTAGGGCAGGTTTTGATTTTATTTGTATTCTCTTTTTTACTCAATTATAAGGGTTCAGCCTAAATTTTTCCCCAGACCAAAATCCACAAATGATTCGCACAGAATAATTTCTCGCTGCTGCTGTGACCTAAACGTATTTGGTCGACCGCAGAAACTGGGATGGAGGAGGGAAAGGAAGGGGGAGGTAGAGGAGGAGATGAAAGGGTGGGAAATACGCCGGCTGTGTGGAAGGAAAAGATGGTGAGGGAATGGCAGAAGATCCGAGAGCACGCGGAGACGTATCCGTACGTTTGGGGATCGTATATCGTGGTCTATGGAAGCTTTGGCGTTTACTTAACGTACCGGTGGCGGAAGCTTCGACGAACGGAGGGCCGTGTCCGCATCCTACAGGAGCGGCTTCGCAAGCTCGTTGAGGAAGAGGAGGCTGCCACCGCTAGCTCCGGAAGCGGTGCATCCATCAAACCTCCGTCAGCTCCACCGAAGTCCGTTGCGACACCGACGAAGGTGGATGATAAGCTAAGCTAGCAGCCCTAAAGAGCCCTTCTTTTTTTTTTCTGAGCATTCCAACTTGTATCACCCCTCTTTCCTAACTACATAGTGGCGTTTTTGGATTTTGGAGCATTGTTTCATTATCTGCTTTTTCCTCTTTTTTTTCCTGTAATAAAATAGTGATACTTTTATTATCATTTCATCTTTTGTAAACTGTATTTCAGTGAACATTCCACCAGATAATGCCAGGAATATGACCAAAACAAGCTATGCTTTGTTCTATTTTCCTAAGATTTAACTGCCCCTTAATTCAGGTGTCATTAAAGTACTGTTTGTGGTGGCTGCAATTATTTGTGAAAATAGTTGGAGTGGTTCATTTACACAATTATAGACTTATCTTGGATTGGTACTATACCAGGGTCCATTGGTTCAATCACCTCTTTCATCTTTTCAACGATATACATTAATCTATTGAGGTCCTAGGATCTCCTTTGCCATCAGCAGATGATAATTTCAATATTTAATCCGAAGTATAAGGATGTTTTATTGATTCTTGAATATTGAGGCTAAGATGGTGTTCATCAACATGTCATGCTGTATTGTAATTGTCCATGAGGTTTGTTTTGATGAATTATGGGGTTTATTATGCAGAGTGATGTGGGGAGACAATCGTTGGATCGTTGGAAGAAGATGATGCTTGAAAGATTTCCAAGAACAATTGCACAAACCAAGCTCAAAGGCTTGAATTCATATAATATTCATCAATGCTCATGCTTCCTTACATCAAACTATATATAATACTTAAGTAGAAAAACCTAGAAGATTCTAGAAACATGAAACAACTTGTAACAAACTACATAAGATATCCAAGGAACACTTTAAACTTAAAATGCTCTGCATCATTTTCCCCTTGCGTCAAAAGAGCTCGACTCCGTTGAGGCGCGTTATAGGGAGGGTGATAAATGTAGAAATCAAAATCAATCCTCCGCATCTTTGATGCATGTCCTCAAGCTCGTTTAGATGAGCCCAAGCCACAAGTACAGTAGACAAGAAATTTCCTCCTCCATTCGATTAGAGATATCCAAAGCTCTATTTTCCATTGCATTTGGTACAAGAACTTTCAAATAAGGCATCACAACATCATAATAATTTTGGAACTGCTGCCGTGAAGAATCAACAAGTGATGCTAAAGTAGTTAAAGCTGCTCCTTGCACCATCTGTTTCCCAATATGAAGAAATACCAACAGTTTGCTAACAAAGCCATTCAAGTAAGGAGTCAAAATTCCAATATCAACAATTGCATAAGAGAAATCATTGTCTTGGATGAAATATGCATTAGGGTTCTCAGAAAAAAACAACTTCTGTGCTTGGGTCTACTGTTGCTTTTATAGCATCAAGTAAGGTAGTTCCAATTGTAAGATTGTTCCCGCTAAGTCCTTGCCACTCGATTGTCCAACCTCCACACTGATAACCCAAGTTATCAGCTTTGCTACCAGCAACAAGCATGGTTTAAAATTGCGCAATAAAAGGCGCACCTTACCGCAATGTGGTCCCTTTAAGCCTCAAAGCCTACGCAATAAGTTAAGGTTTTGAGGCTTACGCCTCAAGTTTAATGAGGCGCACCACGCCTCACATTTTTGAGGCGACGCCTCTAATAAAATTAACCTAAATTTTTTTCTTCAATTCCGACTCCTAATTGCGTCTAGTGAGATGTCGACGTGGCATCAACATTTAAATACTGGTAAATGTCGAATGTTAGACGTTGCATTACGGTTTTCAAGTTCCAGCAAACGTTCCAACTTCCAAGCATTCAATCCAGAGCAATTCCAAGCATTCCCTCAATTCCTTCTCAGATGTCGTCACCCACTAAGAAAAAGGTAATTTGCTGCCATGATTTCTATTTAGTTCATGCGTAGGTGTTCAAGGTTTTGAAGTTCTTCATTTTTTTATGCTTACATTATGCGTATGCGGTGCTTCTCGAAATTTTTTAAATGTTTTTTGATACTTTGATTCCATCGGATTTTCTCTGTATTTAGGGTTTATGAATTTATGTTAAAATTTGAAATATAAATCATAACTAAATTTTAAGCACCGAATACTCTATGCGTATGTTGTGCGTACTCTTTACGTATGTTGTGCGTACTATATGCGTATGTTATGCATATATTGTGCGTGATAATTGCTTATGTTGTGCGTATATACTACGTGCGTACTTTATGCATGCATATTTTATGCGTGTGTATAATTTGCTGCCATATTTTCTGAAATGTGCATTCTTGTGCGTATGTTGTGAGTACTCTATGCGTATGTTGTGCGTATTTTATGCTTATGTTATGCATTTTTTGTGCGTATCTTATTTACTTATTATATATGTTTTTATTTTTTAAAATTTTTAGATATATGTTCGTCCAATTACCTATCGATGCTATGTTTCTACTTTTCGATCAATCTGTGATAATTTTGCTCAGCAAATTTCTCCTGAAGTCGCGGACACATTAAAATAGTTGAAGATCATACAGTTTTTGTAATTTTCTGGGTTTGAGCAAAATGTTCCTCTTATTTATGAGTTGATATCACGGTGGAATATTTCAAAACAATGCTTTGTTCTAAAAGGTGACTCTATTCCTTTCACTGCTAATGAAGTGGCCCTATTTACTGGTCTACCAAATAAAGGAGAAGAAATATCCTGTCTTTCCTTAGCACATACTTCAGTTACATCATCGGAAATTAAGGCAGACATGCTGGAGTTGAACAAGCAAATCCCCCTAAGACTATGTTAAGAAGGTTTATCATGTATTTATGTTCAAATTTACTTTTTTAACTTAACAACTTCAAAACCCCTCGGTTGCTTCAAAGAATAGCAAATAATTCAGATGATTTTTTGTTAATAAACTGGGCTAGTTCAATTAGGGAATTTTTAGTTGGAGAGTTTAATAAGGTCTCATTCAAGATTTTAAATAAGAAGTCAGCAAGTTACATCAACGATTTTATACCTTTGCTAATTGTGAGTGCTAAGTGCTAACTGCTAAATTAATTCAAAATTTTATTGGCTCAATGTGAGTGCTAAAATTTTCTTTCATCTTATGCAGATTTGATTCCTGGAGCATACTTCTTTTCATGCTCCTATGTATGCTAATGAAAGGCCCTATTTTCTACGATGATATTGTATATACTACAGAGGTGGTCATTAACTTATTTGCTAATATAATTAAAAGTCAGATTTATAATGTTCTTCAAGTGGTTTTCTAGGCTGAAATGGATATGGTTAATGTCAAGAAATATTCATCAGACAGCACTCCATCTCCTGATTTCCCCCATGAAATATTCACCCATCAAAACAACCCACCTATCTCCCCATCATACCCCACCTCCTCAGTAAGACCCCCACCAATCTCTTCAGCAAGACCCCCACCAATCTTCTCAACAACCACACTTAAGTTTTTTTGCTAAAGCACTTGAATCTTTATAAAAAAGAATAATTAAATCCTGCCAAGAAAGATGCACAAAACTTTTTTTTTGAATTTGAAGATAGGCTGAGCAGAAAGTTTGAAGACCTAACTGAAAGAGTTAAAGTTATTGAGGTCAAGATCAATAATTACATTGATTAGAGCAAAATACTTCCTCAAAAAAGATCTGTTAGCTACTCTTTATCTTCCAATAAGAAACATAAATCAGATATCCCTCCCAGAGCCCCAATAAACTAATCCCCCAAAATGAGTCAATCTCATCCAAAAATGAGCCAATCCCACAAAATGAGCCAATCACAGCAGAAATGCAACTTATTTCATATACAAATTCAAATGAACCAATACCAGTCAAGGTTTAAAATTGCGTATTCGGGTATTGAGGCATTTTTTGTTCGTGAGGCGAGGTGTAAGCCTCAAAATCAAAAAATTACGTAAACATAAAATAATAAATTTTGTATATACTAATGAGTAAATAATATATAAAATATAAAAATGCACAAGATAAATAGCAATGACATTAACATATCACATAAAAAGTTAAGAACTCACTAGTCATCAGCATTATCATCACTCATCAGTCATCACTAAGGGAGTCTTCATTTAAATCATCATTATGATGAGCTGCTCTCTCCTCTTCCCCCTCTCCTATAGAGTCCAATATCTCTCAATCAGCTTTTTCTTCCTCATTATTAGTTATCTTCCTCTTCTCTAAATAGTAAATATTTTTAAACAATATCATAATTAATAATAGTGTAATATATTAATAAAAGTTTAAGAAAAGAAAACTATATTATTTATTAAGAAAAGAAACTATATTATTTATATACCTTTTTTGATTTGGTCTTGAGTTGTGCTTTTTGTTGATGCTTTAAGACCATCAAAGAAATCAACATTTAAATCTTCATCTTGTAATTCAGACGGCATCACTTCAACTTCATCATCTACAAACACTCATCGTCAGATGCCACATCATCGCAAAGCAAAGGATCTTCATCATCCATTAATCCTTTTTTCTTCAAATTTCTATCTCTGAGTCTCCTATTGTACATAATGTACACCAGTGAGTTCATCCTCAATGTCGACAAGCGATTTCTCCTCTTTGTATGCATTTGGTTGTAGGTACTCCAATTCCTTTCACAGTCAGATGAAGAGCATGTCAAGCCCAAAACTTTCACAGCAAAACGCTGTAATTCTGGAGTCCCATCACCAAATTGAATCCACCACTCAACTGGAGATCGTTTGGCAATTGTATCTTTTGCTTGTTGTAATCCAAAAAAACCTTCTTTGTTCCTAAAAGGTACCAATTGCAAGTCAGCATTTGATCTTTCAGTTGCATCACTTATTAGACGATCCATGCAATGATATAATCCCAACTTTATTTCAGGGTTTGTAGACTTGTTCTCTGCATATTGATACTGAGGGTTTAGGTAGTAGCCAGCGGCATGCAAGTGTCGGTGAAGCTGTAGTTCCCACCTATCATCAATAATATTCCAAATTTCCCTAAAGCTTCCCTCACTGCCTCCTAAGTTGGAGGCAATCATCTCTTTG